CATAGCACAACATTAGATAAACAACCACCTGTTATCAAGCTGTCAAACATGTCAATAGCATAAATAAGCAGCTACTGGCTAGTTAAAAAATGCATTTTTGTGATATTTTAAACTTAAAGTAAATAAGAGTTGTTTCAAATCAGATTGATTATAATTTAAATCAGCTAATATTCTTCAAATAATGTTCCAGAAAAGTATATTTTATTTTTGGATGGTTCTTTTTAATAAAGAGAATTACATTGCAATGAAAGACTACTAAAATGGGCGCTAATCCGCTATTTTAGCCAAAAAAATAAATAAATAAATAAATAAAATAAAATCCTTCCATTCAATTTAAATTAGTTTTTGAAACATAGCAAAATATTTGGCTTGTTGGAAATATTAAATTTAATCTACAAGCTTGAAATTAAAACTAAAATAAAGCCTTCAATAAAGGTTTTCATTTTTAAAAATTCATTTTAAACCTTAGGTATCGCGTTTTCTGTGGTGGTACCTACTCTTAGGTATACAGCTAAAGCCGAGAGAAAGTTCAGTGAACGTTACGAAACTGAGAATTTTCTTCGTTTAATTTTGTATCGATCGAGAGAGACACTTTATTTTCAGAATATGGAAAATGAGGAAATGGCGCGGATTACAAGCAACGTTTCCATTGGGTGTATTTATGTCCTTCTCTCTGGATAACTCTCCTTTCACTGTTGGTTTGTTAAAAAAAAAAAAAAAATATAGGGTCCCTTTACTTTTCTCTAGTTAGTTTTAATTTACCAGTGATCAGTGGCCATGACGAGAAGACAGACGACATCATTATCGTTCCATCCGAAGCTTTAGAAGGTAAACTATGGAACCGAAAATAATGATAGGATAAGCGTAATATCCTTCCGATTTTCTGCATCATGGAACTTATTAAATAATCTAGTACTTCCTGTTTGGTGAGTAATCACCATAGTAACCTAAAATATGCCAGAAAGAACCCAAAGTGGAAGCCTAAAAACTGAGTAGAATGAACAGATTTTTGTTTTTTACTTGAAAGTTTCAATGGATTTGTTCAATATGATCAGTTACACAATCCGCTAAATCAGGGGTCGGCAACTCATTCGACCCCGCGGGCCGGATCGTGTTATAATGACGGGTCGCGGGCCGGACGAAGGCCATTAATGAAAAATTAAGGAAAATTACATATGCAGACCCTCTGTCAACCTAAATATTTAAAACCATAATGAAAATAAACATTGAGAAATCAGAAAAACAAAAGAAAATCTAAAATTAAATAACACTTAACAAAAATTACTTTTCCTCAAGGAAGGTCAAAATACTTCAAAGTGAAAAAAATCAACCGAAGTGAAATGGATGAAATTATGACGTGTAGGTTTGAAAGTGTTATTGAAAATTGTTCCACAAACGAACCCCCCCACACATACACATCAAACAAAAACCAAGCACATATACTCATACATACGAGTACAAATAGTTGCAAACATATACACTTACGTACGTACACATGCGGTATCATCCACACATTCATGAAGCATGTATGTATAATACGCGTATGTTTAACTGTCTTTAGATTTCTGCTACCTCGCATGTCAGTCCCTTCCTGGCCTCTTTCACTTTATTGTTCCTAAAAATAGTCATTGGTAATCAGGCTCGTGGGCCGGTCAAAATGCCTTCGCGGACCGAATCCGGCCCGCGGGCCATAGGTTGCCGACCCTTGCGCTAAATGATTTGGTTTGAAAATTTCTCTTTTTTTTTTTTCTTATTGGAGTTGACGGGGAAATGTAAATGTTGAAAGACTATAAAGCATTTGGAAATTCAAATTATCGGCAAATAATAAAAACAAGAAAAATCTGTTCTATTTTTGTTAACTAGATTTTTCTGTTGAAGAATACGTGGAGACGTCACGTATCCTTCAACAGAAAAATCTAATGGTGTCTAAAAAGTCTCCTCTCCAACCGCACACATATTCGTCTATAAATCAACTCTAAACTTAATATTGTACATGTTCGTGTATAAGAAGAAAAAAAAAACAAAAAAAAAAACAAAAACTCCGTCATATCGTTTTGAGGTTTCGGGAGTGGTTCATTCTTTTTTAAATAAATAAAAAAAATCTAAGTGGTCTATTCAAATGATATTTTCAGCGTTTTATGATGAAAGTGAAAAAAAAAAAAAAACAAAAACAAAACGAAACACTGTACCCAGATTAAAATCAGCATCATTTTTCAGGGTATTGGAATTTTATTTTCCATCATTTTGTATTATTGTCGTAAACTGATTCTACTCTAGTAAAGAAAAAAAATAACCTAAGGGAATAATTAATTTTAAGTGGGTATTTGTCTAGTACTTCGCTCTGCCTATTCTACAAATATTTTTTCATGGTAACTGCTCGGACGATCTTTTTTTACCGGTGCCCCGACTACATGAATTTAAGCGCACTACTCTATTGGTAACTAGGTCTCACCGCTTTACTGTTGAACTAGCTAGATGCAACCGTCATTTCTACTCTAACTTTTTTTTTCTTGCAATTCCCACCTATGGAATTCCCTTCCGATTTCTTGGATCCCTGATAACTACAATCTTCAAAAATTTAAATACAACGTCAATTGTCATTTTCTGTCTTCTTGAAGCTTGTTCTTTTTGGCTCTTTTCGCAATCTCCCCTTTCACTCATTGTAACCCCCCTGCATTCCAGTTACACTGTCACCTTGCTTGGTGTGAACAGATTTTATATAATATATATATATATATATATAAAAGACATATTTTATGTTTAACGTTGTTATTTTATAGATACAAGTATTTAAGCAAATGCTATGTTTATGATAAACAGTATTAAATAACATTTACCGGCCTGAATGTCCGAGAAATTTTCATAGAAAATATTCGTTCTTTGACAGGATTCGAACCTGCATCCTATACGGAACCGTCATATACGCTGACGTGCCTTACCGCTTAGGCTACAAAGAAGCGTTGTTATTTAAACATAAAATATGTCTTTAATAAATAAATTGTCGGACCTTGTCCATTTCTTAATATATATATATATATATATATATATATATATAATAATGAATAGGCTGATAACCATCGTATTGTTTTGTTCATATCTTCTGCTCACACGATGAACTTGTTAATTATACATGGTGAAGGAGTGGTTTAAATCTAAATTATTATTTCAGATGCAAGACCTAAAAATCTGGGCATGACTCCGTGTCATAATTATCATTGAGGTAGTCTCATAAATCATTACTACTGTTGCGAGGTCTATTCTGGCTTTTTGTCCCACATTTATGACCTTGTCTCAGACTAATCCGATCTTCGTAAATACCGAAAGCCGCCAATCGTAGTACTATTAGAAATACTTTTCTTTCGTCATTAATCAATATGAACCAAGAACAATTTGTTCATGTATATAAATAGTATATAAATTTATATTCAGCCAGTTAAGTGCCATACGTGATATACGTTTGGGCAATCATGTCTTTTTCGTTTCCTGACTGACTCATAGTAGGTTGCCGTTTCTTTCAGCGGTAGATTCGTTGCCAACCAAGGCTATAAGACCCAGTCTGTTTTGCTATTCAACCCTTCGGAGTGAGAAGACATATTCATACTTTTCCCAAGAGTATTTGCGCGTAAATGAATGTAACAAACCAGATTGAAATTCGAAACTGTACGGGTAGGTTGATAAATATGTTAATTGTTTTAGACTTGTTCCCTAAGGAAACTTTTCATACTGGCACCTAGTGGTAGAAGCATTAACGTTGTGTACCAAGAAATCTTGTCGACCAAAGTAACTATATTATATTTTTCATCAGATTTTTAAGAGCCACTCAAGGAAGGGGTTTACTGAATAAGGTTTTCATGGATGTAAGAATTGTAGATTGAGGATTTGTAGGATAGATAACTGTTAACAATAGTCTTGAAGAGGTTAAGATTGTAGTAGCCGGGAAAGCATCCTTTCGGGAGCTGCTCCATAAAGTAGCAGCCGTTGTTAAGAAGTTGTCCGAATGGAACTTTCTTACGAAGGGAATGACGATGGTTTGCTTTATGTACATGGAGTGGCGAGTCTTAAGCTGGAAACGTTTCAACTCGTGGAACTAAGGTTTGTAGTTCATCAGAACATTTTCCATGAATAGGTTTGCAACGTTTGGCCTGTGGGGAAAAAGACTGTAGGGTGGGAAATAATTCATTACCCAGAAAGCTGTATAAATGCTTTTGAACTCTGTCGACGCTAGAAGGAGGATTTTTCAAACATAAATCGTTTTCCCACATTTTTGGGATTGTAGAAAATAAAATAACTGTGTGTGTGTAATAAACATATATATATATATATATATATATATATATATATATATATATATATACTTGGTGCCCGATCGGAAGAGATAACTTAATGTGAATAATATATTTGTTCTATGATGAGGTATTGAGCACTATTTTAAAATGAGACATTCACAGTATGTGTGTAACACATTTTTTACGTCAGTAAAGGTGTCCATTCCACTGAGTGAATTACCTTTCTCAATGTAATGAACTGTTCTGGTTAGGTTACGTAGAAATACTACATACTTATATTAAGTTAAAAGAATTCTTCAATTCTGAGTGATTCTGCAGACAAACTTTTAAAGTAAGATATATGTATATATTCAAAATCTGTTTCATTTATCATGATTGCTTGCATTTATCGTATGGAAACCAGGCAGAAGGTAAATTGTTATCTTTACTTAAATTTACTTTTAATTTGATTTAATATTCAGAAAATACTGAAGATAAAGAACCAAATGCAAAGCAATATATTTTTAATGTCAGTAAAATGTAATTGTAAAATTACTTTTTTGAAAGCACAAGTAAATTGATAATTAATTTTTAATCGTATATAAATTCCCTTGATTAAGTGAACTGTCTCTTAAATTTAATTAATGAATGTCAAGATAGTTAAAGCAAAACAATTCGCAGTCTGTCTGTTGGATGGCTGAAATAGTTGCATATGTCTTCCTGTTGTTAGTGGGCTTACAGCCATATCACGTTGAAACACCAGTTCTCGTACGGTCACCAAAGTTAAGCAACCTCGAGCTTGGTCAGTAGCTAGATGAGTGACCACTTGAAATATCAGGTTCTGTGCGGGTGGCGTAATAATATCTGCTCAGAATTGATAATCGAAGAGCCGTGTTCCAATTCCAGTCGGGTTGGTTATATTCAGTTACACACAAATACTCTTGGGGGAAAATATGAATCCTCCTCTTCTCCTACCAGATATGGCTTAATTAGCAATACTTATATCAGTAAATCATTAAAAAATCTTTCAATCTAAAAAATATTTTGTAGCTTTAAATAATTTACAAAAGGCTGATAAACCATAAAAAAAAACAAATCGATTATACCGTTAGCGATCGATCACCGAACCCAAAGTCAGGCAGACAACAACAATTAAGATTGGTGCAACGCAATCTTCTCTACATTTTTATGCAAATAAAAAGTTTAGAAGGAAAACCCTCATTAATACTGGAAAGAGCAATAACAGCTACTGGTCTTGATAAATTTATTTTCCTGAAAATTTATTGTTTTATAGATTTCAACAATTGCTCATATTTCAAAGGGATAAAAAAATCCTTCTTAGGAAAATTGCATGATTACTTTATAATGAATTAGTCCGGTCTCTATATTTTCTCGTTCTTAATCATTTATTAATTATCATTGTTATCATTATTTACACTATTTACATGCAGACTATTGTCCTCATTTTTGTTGTTTTCAGAACATTTCGGCCGTTATGCTCTCTGGCCTCCTGAACTGAACACTTTATTCTGTCTATGGGGATAGACTGTTCTCCTTCTACTGACCATATCTAGAGATACCATCTAATTCTTATTTTTTTAGAACTTCTCAGTTATTGTTCGCCCTGTTTCCATTTATTTTAAGTACACACTGCCCGGTCAAGTGATTGAACTCGGAAACTGTCAGCAAATACACTTATCAGCGCTTTCATTGATTAGGCCATTGTCTGGTGGGATCCGAGAATTATCTGTAGTTTATTCAGATCAACATGCACCTGATGAAGGCCTGAGGGCACAATGACCGAAATGTGATAACTGTCCGTATTGAACTAGTGTAATTAAGGAAAGTTAGTCTCTTTTTTACACCGCAATTCCTTCCCTCACATATATAAAGAAATGAAAAGTTAGCTATAACATTTCTAGACAAAAAAAAAAAAACCTTTTGAATCAGAGATTGGAAATTATCACCCGTTGCATACATACTAAAAAGTTCCTTTTGAATTCATATGAAATGGGAGGAAAAGAAACTATGTATATTTCATTCCCCTCCTCCTCCTCTTCTGCAACACTTTACGTCGTGTGCTTATTTATTTTTAAATAGCGTTCATAAAATTAAAAAAAAAGCATTAGGAAATCAATTGACCGAAATCGTTTGAAGATACCGAAATATTGAAACCAACGTAGCTAAATCGGCTGGTCTCCTAATATTTTTATACTTAAAAGCTCTACATGCTAAATGTTTTTATGTGTATTGGATACTTTTTAATATTACTGTTTCCTGGTCTAATTCAAATCTGAACATCTTACTTATTATAAAACGCAGATTGTGTGTGTGTGTGTGTGTACGTTTATATATTGGATCGGATTTCCTACATTTTTCAACCGATTTCAACAAAACTTCACAGGACTGCGTAAAATTACCTTGCGGTGGTTCTGACAGCGCCAAAAATTGGAAAAACAATTGTTTTTGCACGAAATCAATTTGAAAACACGATTCTGTCGCCAGAATGAAAGGGTGACAACTCATATCGAGTTATACTTATAAAACACAGGTTGTTTGTGTGTGTGTTCGTTTATATATAGGATCGGATTTCCTACATTTTTCAACCGATTTCAACAAAACTTCACTTTTTTTGGCAGGTAGTGTTTCTTATTGTCTTGCACACTTTTTTCTTTATTTTTACATTCAGAATGGTTTAAAAATTCCATTTACAAGACAACTGTTTATAATAAAATTCTATTCAATCGATAGACTCATAATGATTGAAAACAATGTTTTTGTTTAAGTTTGGGTTTGACCAATTCGTAAAAAAAAAAAAAAAAAAAAAACTAATTAAGACATGCGTGTCCGTCAACCTTAAACAATAATCTTTGTCAATTTTATTTTCAGTCTTTATGATGGTCGATACTTGATCTATCTCTTACTGTTACATCCCCGGGCAACGCCTGGCTCTACTGCTATATATATATATATATATATAAACTTTCACTCGCTTTTCTTTTCGTTTTTCTCTAGCTTTTTTGTCTCTTAACTTTCCCTTATTCTCTGTAACATTTCTCTGATCGCACTTAATATTATTATCGTAATAAGACGAGAAAATACGTAATACGTTTATTCACCTTCGAACTGCGTCAGTTTACATCGACGAGTGTGTGTATGACTGTTTTTTTTTTTTTGGGGGGGGTCCGAACGTGGATTTCGAGGGGGTGCTTCCTCTTATCTAGTTGTTTCATGTTGGTACACCCGAAACGTATCTGTACCAAACACCTTTTTACATGCTGGGACCAGCAGGTGACATCTTGCGTGAGGCGCGAATCTGTTCCTGGTGACTATAAGGTTACTTTCCGAGTCATCTCGCTGATGCATCTGGTTTCACTTATGCATTGGTCTGACGCTGACAAAGTCTCTTTTGGTATCATCTGGGGCGAGCCCAGTATATATTGGGGTAATCATAGATCAACGTACCGTAGAACAAAGTTTGTTTATCGACATTAAATTTGATTCAGACTTTGGTATGTATTGGCGTGAATCACATGTAGGTTTCTCGATCAGAAAACCTCACGTATTTCAATTGTGTATTCAGTCTTTAGTTTCCAATAAAGATCACTCGGAACTTTTGCGCGTGCGTGCACACACACGCACACATACACACACACACACACCTAAATTTCGCTGACCATTACTAGAGTAGTGAAATTAGACGACCACACATTCTTTTGTACGGTCTTGTCAAATTGAGATGAACAGCTATTTAAACTTGTAAAAATTGTTAGGCTGACACAAGGCCATAACTGTGTTGAGCTTAGGAAATATCTACTCTGGGAGTAGCTGTAGATCGATGATTCACAAGCTAGCATCGTAGTCTGTTCGTTAATACAGACAATTTAGTTCCCACCTGATGGGCTGTGTCAGACTTGACTTAGCCTAGTAAAGACTTGTTATTGTATCTAGTATTTTAGAGACCTATACTCATAACTCAATGAGTTCAACTTGTAATGGTTTATATAGTCTTGTGCTAGACTAAAATTAGAAAACTGTACAAGCACACATTTATGCATAACTGCCACACATACGCATACGTTGGGGGGGGATTAAAGGTAGGAAGAGTATGTTTCGTTAATTTTTCAAATAGTGGGGTTTGCCTGCTTTGAAGATCAGCATTCATATATATATATATATATATATATATATATATATATATATATATATATATATATATATGCACATTTCATTGAATATGACAGACAAGGTGCTTTTTAGTTTTTTTATACAATTTCTCATGCTATCTAATAATTTTTTTCTTTTCAGATGATAAATTTTATGTAAAAACTGTCCAAATCTTATGTATATTTTTCTCTAACTGTTAAATAAAAAATAGTTTGTTACATGTATGTATAAAATGTTTTTCAAAACGCGGTCAAGATATTGTGTCCAGGTTCATAGTTGATATTAAGTGTTGTTTTTTGTGTTTATTAATAAGGCTTCCATTATTTTTAGCCTTTTTTTTGTATGTAGATGATGCTATTATATTTGTGTTGTCAACAAGTATGTTACAAATAGTGTTAAAATATTTAAAATAGTTAAAATATTTAATCCTTGAAAATGGCTAAATGTATATAGCCAAAAGCGCTCGGATAAAAAGAACATTCGGATAGTTTTTATATAATTTATCATCTGAAAAGAAAAAAAAATATTAGATCGCATGAGAAATTATATAAAAAAATAAATAAAAGCACCATGTCTGTCGTATTCAATGAAATATGCATGAAAGAAGGATTGCTGCTTAAACACACACACACACACACACACACACACACACACACACACACTATATTGGCTCTTATGAGAAATACGTCACTTAGCTACGAAGTTCGTGTGTCCTGGTCCAGCCGGGGTGTTTGAAATTAATATTAGCTCTATCCTCCTGGAGCCATCCCCCACCTCCTCGGCAGTACCTCTCTTTCGGGAAGGGCTAGGGTTATTACCCGGCACATGAGACGTCCCCAATAGAGGATGTGCCGAGGGGTCTTGGGCAATTTGTGAACGGCTTCCGAAGTCCCACATTCTGTTTCGACGTGGGCGTACGAATAAATACCCTTTCACACTGTGTTGCTGTACGACAGGCTGTGGATCTCTACGCGCGCGCACACACATACAGAAAGAGAGAGAGAGAGAGGGGAAAAAGAAAAAGAGAAAAAGAGATAAACAAAGAAAGATAGAAAAGAGAAAGAGATAAAGAAAGAGAGAGAAAGAGATAAAGAAAGAGAGAGAAAGAGATAAAGAAAGAGATAAAGAGAGAAAAAAGAAAGAGATAAAGAAAGAGAGAAAAATAAAGAAAGAGAGAGAGATAAAGAAAGAAAGAAATAAAGAAAGAGAGAGATAAAGAAAGAGAAATAAAGAAAGAGAGAGATAAAGAAAGAGAAATAAAGAAAGAGAGAGATAAAGAAAGAGAAATAAAGAAAGAGAAAAAAGAGATAAAGAAAGATAAAAAAGAAAGAGATAAAGAAAGAGAAAAAAGAGAAAAGAGATAAAAAGAGAGAGAAATAAAGAAAGAGAGAAAAAAAGAGATAAAGAAAGAGAAAAAAAGAGAGAGAGAAAAACTGAGCAAAAAAAAGAGATAAACAACGAGGGAACGAGAAAAAGAGATGAAAAAGAGAGAAAAAAAGAGGGGGACAAAGAGATAAAAAAAAGGAGAAAGAGACAAAAAGAAAAAAGAGGGAGAAAGAAGAAAAAAGAGAAAGAAAGAAAAGAGAGTGAAAAAGAAAAAATGCGTGCGTGTCTGTCTTAGGCTGTGGGTAGAATTGGTATACATGTTAAGATCCCTTGTTACTCCGAGGTAAAATAAAATGGGCAGCACATAAATTCAACACGACACAACGTTAGGAGAAAGAAAATATGAATGTAAGAAAATAAACTGGCACAGACGTATCAACAACATAATTTACCAATTTCGGGCGACCAACCTCGAACTCGAAATTTATTTATTTATTTATTTTCATCATTTCTGTTGATTGAAATGATGAAAAATAAAACCATCAGTGTTGTCGAACGTTGACACGTACTTTACGGCTGCTACAATTACTCCGTACAATTTCGTCTCTCCCAGGGCGGCGATCATGTGGAATTATGCAAAATTTAATAATTAAAATTATAGCTCGCGTGTCAAGGTCACGTAGATATCTGACGGCGCATCGGAATAGCGAAGAATGCGTTTTAGAAGCTGAATAAAGTATTAATTAAAAATGAGACAGTGACAGGGATGTAGTTTTACAGAAGGATGCTGAGAATATCACAGAGAAGACATGTAAGCCACGAGGAAGTTTGAAGAAAAATAGAAACGAGAAGGTCACTTCTGTTTACCATCGGAAAGAATTGAAATTTGTGGGACACATAATGAGGAAAGTTGCTTGAAGAATTTAACACTCGCAGGAAACACTGAAAAAAAGAGGAGCAGAAGGAAACAGCGAGTAACCTACCTAACGAGTTCATCTAAATGGATGGCAGAGGGAGAAATTTTGATAAGAGCCTTGAGAGCAGGAAGCTGTAGAGAGTCATTATCATCCACGTCCTGAGGGGATACAGCACATAAAAGAACAGTTAGATTTCAGAGCTATTTCAGTTGGGACGAACACACACACACACACGCACGCACGCACGCGCACATTAGTCAAACTCCAAGCAAACGCCGTCAGAATTTAAATAGAAAATATTAGAAATTTATGAACGTGGTATAAAAAGAAAATTTTCTTCACAATCGCTGTTGGTTTTTGTAAATTCACAAACATTCGAGATTGTATCCACTGAAAAAGGATTAATAGGAAGCATTGCAACAGGTCATAGTCAATCCATTAAAAATGTAAGCTCAATTACACAAATCTTTGCCAATCGACTCCATTTCTAAGCTAGTAAACTTATGCATCATTCTCCACCCCCTGTAAACAGAGTAATGACAATCATAAAATGTCTAAACTTTCGCTATATCAGGTGCATATCAATTTCTATGAAAATTTCAAGTAAAGCTATAAAAATATACATCAGCATAAAATCAACTCAGTCACACATTTACAAACAAAAACTTTAATGTAAAAAAAAAAAAAAAAAAAATAAATAAATTGTAATTTTAAAAATTTCAACAGAATTATTGAAAGTTTATTTTCTTGACTATGACTAATTACCAACGCTGCTATACATGTCGACAGATTATATTTAGAAACATTTGGAATTCGGTTACATTTTTTTAAGCATATGTGGTGGTTAACATTAATTTAAAAAAAATAGCGTGTGCGCACACACACACACACACACACACACACACACACACAAACTAACACTTATTGCCTCAACTTCTGGTAAAGTGGTTGGCTTGCTTTGTTTCACCACTAACCGTGCTTGGGATAAGACGTTAACTTTGCACCGGCCCAAAACAGCGAACACACATTGACACATTCTCATATACGTGACAGTTATTTTTACAGTGCAGTCATAATCCCAGAGAAAAGAAAGTGTTCATTATTTATAATTTTACTGCCCACTTTCACCCTGTTGTCTTCTAATTCCAATTTCCATGTTGACTGACTATTTCTATGAAGGACACAACCGCTTGTCTAGTCATCAGGTCCATCCAATATAGCTCTGCATTCATCACTAAAAAAAAAAAAAAACTACTGTCGATAAATCTGTTATGCACAAAAGTACATGGAAACTGCTTTCTCGACAGTACACGTTTCTCTTTGTGATGTTCATTTAATGGTGATAGCTTGGTTATTTTTGTGTATTTAGGCAGTGTTCTTAATATTTTGCATCTTTTTTTCTTTGTTTATGTTCACAATATCAGCTTCTAATATTTTCTTGCTGTTCAATCCATTTTTTTTTTCAATCACTTTTTTTTTCAAATTCTCATTTTTAGACAGTTTTTTCTTGTTTCTATCTCGACAATGTTTGCAATTTATTTTCATCCTGTGATGTTTGTTCAACTTTCGAAATTCCCAATGATTTGTTCAGATCACTTAATTGTTTTACACTTGATTCTCTTTTATGCCATCCATGGCAATCATGATATATCTATAATTAAATCACTTTACTACGATTTATATTTATTTACAACTGAACAAAGTACATGTTAAATTTCTCACCCACTACATCAGTGTAAATATTGCTAATAAAACAAATATTATAAGCTGATATTTACATGGTATATTTAATATACATTTAAGTATATCTTGAAAATATTGCCAACATCAGTTGGTTAATACCAATATCTTTGCGAAAACATTGAGTTGCCTAATAAAATCTGGTAATGTCAAATTAATTGGAGATATTTACCAAGTTAAACCTAATCTTGCATATGGCTCTAATAGTGAGAGGCACTAGTGAGGATCGAACCTGTCTCACTTGCGAATCATCTATGAGATTAGTTTTCTAGTCACTGTTTTCCGCCAAGAGTCCATTAACATTTTTGATGGAACTGTTTCATAAAAAATGAAACTATCTATAATTCTTAAAATGCATGTGTGTGTGTGTGTGTGTGTGATCGGATGTTGTTTATGCATTTCCAGTTTTCATCCGATTTCGATGAATTTTTTTTTTGTTTGATAGATAATTCTTCAGTGCCGGTTTTGAGTTCAAATTGTTATCGACAATGGCTCTCCACTACTTCCTGTCCCTTATAACTCTCAGCAACGTTTTACTATTTACTATCTGTTCTTGGATATATATATTTCATAAAAACTTTAATAAATGTAAATAGTTTAAATTATTACAATAATATTATTTATTATTATACAGTTCCCTTTTCAGGGCCACCACGATTCAAATTCCCCCTCCCCATTTGGGGATGTGCCTCAGTTGCACCCAAATGTTGTTACTAATATTGATTTTTGTGGTAGGCCGACTTTAAACTTAAACTGTTCCAACTGAATGGCAAAAATTTCCAGTAATGAAAGACCCAGTCAAAGACGGGTTATACTGCTAGTTGAAAATATATATGTAAAACTGTCGTACATCAAATGCTCTGATTGTGCATTATGTAATTGTTGTGTTGAACAACAAAGCAGAGGAAGATTCTAATCTTTTGTATTGTAATTACAAGAAAAGTTTGATTCGTTTTCTATGGCTTTGCAGTTTATTTAAAGCCAGAAAAGGTTGCAATTGAATTTTTCTTCTTATATAATAATGGTTTTAATGATACCATTCTTACTGATTAACCCATAGCTGGGGAGAGAAGAGGTGGATTCATACCTTTCTCAAGAGTATTTTCGCGTAAGTGAATATAATGAACCCAACGAGAATTGGAATTCAGATTAACAATTCCGAACTATTATCCATGACCCCACCTGCACATCCAAGTTTAGAACACGTGGTATTCCCAAGCGGTCACCCATCTAAATTCTGACCAGGATCGACGTTGCTTAACTTCGGTGATCATACGGAAACCGGTGTTTCAATCGTATTTGGTCATAAGCCTAAGGAAAGAAGAATCTCTCTCTCTCTCTCATATTTAGAACAAAATGGCGATGTAAATCCTTGCTAATATGTTAACTGCTCTTTAATTGTCCATAGAAAGATTGAAAATATTAATGACTCCCTTCAAAGTTATAGACAACTAGAGAGGTTAATTTTTTTATAAACTGTGTGTGTGTCTACGTAAATATTTACTAAGTAGAGTTGACAGTTTTTTCTTCAATTTGAGCGCATAAACATTCACTCGTTTCAGTTTCTATGAAGGCGGATTTGTGTCGAAAGTTTTGTTTTGTACGCGGCTTGTGACCTCCATGTTTAGCTTGTCTCTCGAGCGAAACAAGTGTGACTATAACCTGACTTTGTGAGCTCTCGTCGCTGATACAGCTATCTTGGAAACTGATTTTCCCTTTCTATCTATATTGGTCTATCTGCATGGTGCCTTGTGATACATCGTCTCAACAGAACGTTTTCACGCTTTCCTGTTCACGGCTGCAGCACATGCTTCACTCCAGGTTCGTCAGCCCATTGCTTCCCTCTCTTTTATAGCCCTTCATCATGTCGTTCTTGATATTCCCCTCTTTGCTGTTTTCCTTCGAAATCCCAGGTCAATGCCACAATTCGGTCGCTGTTTGACTCTTGCTTTAAAGTGTGGCCGATCAAGTCTCCACCGTACATCGACGCTAAAGAGCTCTACAAATACGCTAGAGCAGTTTCGCCGTCTTTATTTGGTCTTGCCATCTAATCTTAGGGTTCCTTAAGTTGTTATAAAATCGGTCAATATGATTGTTGTTTCTGATTCATTTTTAAGGCCTTGTAACCATCATAGACGGGGATGACTAAGGTTTTATAAAACCCAATCTTCGTGATTTTGCTTATCTCTGTTGAGTTCCACACGTGCTTCTTATATGTCGTATCTCTTCGCCTGCTTCAATTCACCAGAAGTCTCCCTGATCTTTGCCACTCTAGCATTGATGTCTTCGTGCCACCGCCTTGTTTTCAAACTGTCGCGCCCAGATAAACAAAACTTTCGACATCTTCCAGTTCTCCGTTTGCGGTGATGGGAACTTGTTAGGCAGCATTAATTCGCACGATCTTGCTTTTTAGCCGTGTTGATCTTCAGCGCAATCTATTTAGTCAATCCTTTTTATTTTTCACTCGTATTTTTCTGCGCGTCTATTTAACTAAGCAGAGTTGACAGCTTTTCTCTTTAATTTGAGAGCATAAACATTCACTCGTTTCAGTTTCTATGAAGGCAGATTTGTGCCGAATGTTTTATTTTCTACGCGGCTTGTCTCTCGAGCGAAATAAGTGTGATTATAACCTGACTTCACGAACTTTCGTCGCTGATATTGCTATCATGGAAACTGATTTTCCCTTTCAATGTGAATTATTTATTTAGGTTGGACATATTTTACTCCTAATCTCCAAAACTAGCTTGTTAATCATTGTTCCTAACAAAATTAGTATTTAGTCATCTGAGGGGGTCCGGATGGACTATTGGTACAGAAAACAAAATCAGTTAACAAAGTTCGAACACAGAATAGGGCAATTTCGCAGTATGATTTCAGGAAAGGCATGAATCCAATTTTCCACCTGCTACTACCACACATAACCACGGTATCTTTTTAGAACTGTAAAGGCAGTCAGTCTTGGGAGTCGAATTAGAACGCCGATCCCGTCGAAAATAATTACAATAGTTATAAACAACGACTGGGTATTCATGGAGTGTTCGAGAAATTACCCACCCCTTACCCAACAAAAAAGTAAAGATTATGCATCAGGGGATACAAGAAGGAACTTTGATTTAAAGCTTAACTTAGTCAGACACAAAGAGAAAAATGTGGATCTGTCGGTAAGAACTAAATTCTCTTTGCCAATTATTGTTTGTCTGATTAGTTTGCTAATTTTTTAATCGTTAGACTCCGTTTTTACTTTGTGAAATGTCTCATGTGACGTTTCTTTGAATTTTGATACTGTTTAACGAGATTTCAGTCTGTTTTACCCAATGTCACCAAAAATATTAACCGGGGGCGTGGCGGGTGTGTGTGGAGGGGAAAAGATTAAGTTTCTCATTCTTAAGACAGTCGAAAAACTAACGTAATTACCGAATGAACAGTTTCTCTAGCACTTGCAGCGACATGTGTTTTTTTCGCAATCTTGAGTGAGAATTTCATATTTCACTAAACAGAGCAGGTACGCTGTACCTTACACTCTCACACACAAATAGCTGTTTACTAGACGTAACTTTGTCTACACACAAGACCTGGTAGTAATGACCTGAATTTTGCCACAACTGAATTGCGCCACAACGAGGGTGCTAACCAAAACTTCGGGGAATTTGACCATTGTAAAAATAGCATGACGTTACTTGTAATTTCCATTATTTCCTTCGATGGAGCTCTCTTGGTCATGTATACAACGACTTCATAACAGTTCGAACTGTATTCGGTCCGCACGCTGTTCAAATTCTCTGAACTTTTAGGCAGCGATTTGTAAGCATATTGAGCGCACATTTAAACAAGTCCACCTGTGAACCGTTAGGGTAAACCTTGTTGTGTTATTGTTCACATTTAGTTTCATGAAAAGTTTGTGAAAGTAGAGATATTTTAAAAATACATTTATTTGCAGTTGTTGAAGTTGCTTTCAATATTAAAAAATTGTCTATTTTGAAGAAAGTTCAAATAAAAATACTTACTGTATAAGCTGTTGTGACCAAGTACATGGTTAAAGAAATAAAACAAGTGTTGCAGATATATCATATATTAACAGTAAGTACAACAGAAGAGTATTACATGACTAGTGAGTGTGTGTCGGTTGACTCAGCGTTCAACTGTCAATATTTAACAGCCCCACTCCCCACGAAGAATGTATGTGGCACAAGGCCGGTTTAGCGTGGGTTCTCCGAGCCAGTAGGCTCGGTCAAAATATTCCCTTTGAACCCGTATAAAATGGTTCGGGGCCTGTCTACCTCCCCGGACGAAACTTTGCCCTGCGGGAAAGCTTCGTCCGAGTTCCTCTCTGCCGAGGCAGAGAGTTCGACAGTTATGAACAGTCTGGTCGACTGTTAATATTTAACACCCCCTCCACGAGGGTGTATGTGGCACAAGGTCAGTTTATTGTGGGTATTCCGATCCCGTAGGCTCGGCCAAAAATATCCCCTTTGAACCCGCCTAGACGGGTTCAGGGGCTGTCTACCTCCCCGGACGAAACTTTGCCCTGCGGCAAAGCTTCATCCGAATTCCTCTCTGCCGATGCAGTGTTCAACAGAAGTGAACAGTCTGGTCGACTGTTTCCCCAAGGCCTTCTCTCCTACTAATCTTATAGTATAGTAGGCGGAAGAGTCTAACACAGGCTCTTTAGAGGGAGGACATCACAACAGCAACAAATCATATTTTGAAATTTTATATATATATATATATTACCCTCTGAATGTTCAGATTATAAAACATTTAAGTTGCTTTCAACATTAAAAAAAATTGTCTGTTTGAAGAGAGTTAAAATAAAAATATTTAAAATATTGTTTTAAAGAAAGCTGAAATATAAATGAGCCCAAATGTAATCACGGGAAGGTGCAAAGAGAGAGAGATGAGTGAAAAGAGAGAGCGGTTTTTCTCCGTTCCCTTCTCTCTCCCCGTTTCCTACACAATAATAAATTCATATCTTTCTTTCACCACTCTCTATATATGACTTCTGGCAAACACACAAGCAACGTTCATAGACTTTTATAGTAATAAAGATAGAAACCATATGCATTAATGCGTTGTTCGTACGACTACCGAATTTCGAAATGAATAGCTATGAAACTCGGACGAATAACAGTGTAATATACTCCCCACCATCTTCTCAATTACTTATGTAATCCACGTGTCTTACAAGCCGAGAAATCGAGTAATAGATACGCTGATGGTCCAAACGTGATTACTTACCTTCAGATGTTGGTCCTCAGTGTATCAGCAAACCAGCTTTTACTCAGTCAGGTATGAAGTCTACAAGATTTACAATGATTTCATTTTGGATTTGAAGTTAGGATTGAAACTACTGCAAGTTCTGCAGAGTTTACGTGTTGGCCCAACACATTACACAAGTGCTCAATGAGATATGGGAAGCCGGGTAACCAGGACAATCTTGTACAAGTCGTGCTGGGTGCAATATCGCGCTGAAAGAGAAAATCATCGTAGAAGATTATTGTCGTGAAGATAGTGAACGTGGTGTTCATTAATGTTGAGGTTGGTGGCACGCGACAAAAATACATCCTGTATTAAAGAAAGGACTCAGTATTTCCAAGAAGGACCTTGCAATGCCCCCACCTAGTGACTTATTGTTTTCTCAAAGTGCATCCTAATGTCATCTCTTCATCAAACAACAATGCACATGTTGCTCTGTCGACGACTTTATTCAGGCGGTCTTCTCACAACGTTTAGTTCTGACGCTCCATTGAAAATGCTTTTGGTGATAAGCATCAGTGATTAGGGGTACTAGATTTCAGCTACGCACCTTCGTATACAAGAATCAATGCACTGTCTTGTGATATATATCTTCCTTCATCTTTGTGATATATATTTCTTCTTTCATCTTTGTTAAATCATCTGCTATTTGTGGCACAATTCGCGCAAATCTTTTGTCCATAACTGTGGCATTCAGCACATCAAATTGAATTAAACAAGATCGATTTACACACGCACACAATGGAAGTATCCGAGCTTGATATAACTTGGCAACCAACCAATCAGATATGATTTTATAGCATATGCGTCGGTAATAAGATGCCACCGATCTCTTCAAGACATGTGCAACTTATTTCTTTTTTTTTTTTAATCAAACATTGCATCATTCGTAATTGTTTTAGTCGGTACCATCTAAAATCGAAACTTGGTTTCCTGCGACTTCTAGATTTTCCCAATTCTAAAATATCCGTTGTAAACTTTTGTGAACGACATTTAAAAAGAACTCACGAAAGAATCTGATGGCGATCCCGATAGAATATTTTC